ACAGCCACCACCAACCACCGGCGCCGCGCAGCGCCCCCCGTGGCCGGGAGCGGAGGCACAGCCAGGGCCGTGCACAGCGCCCCCAGCGCTCTGGAGCCGGGCAGCAGCTGTCAGCCCCTCACAGCGCTCCGCCCCAACCTCACCAGGGCCTGCAGTGCCCCCTGCGGTCGGGAGGGGAATTGCAAGTTCGGCTGGGGGGCGGAGAGGTGGGCGGGTCCTTTATCCCCTTCACCCACCAGTAGCACCATCACTAGTTCCAGTCTTACTCCAGTCCAGGTAGTCACGTGTGGAGGAGTTTACGCCCTCTCTCCTTAGACAACACCAAAGACTTTTCAAGATGGTGGGGAGATGAGGCAAGGTACCTAGAACATGGCTATTTTGAGTTAACCCCAATAACCAACACATTGATCTCCTATCCTAAAACGAGTTACTCCCTGTTATCTGTTAGGAAATATCCACTCCATTGATCCATATGGGACACCACCATCTTTCTCATTGGCCCAGAGTAGTTCAGTACTTGATAGATTCCTTTCCCATAAACCAATGCGTAACATCCATTGGGTGTGATTATGATCTCCATTGGCGAAAGACGAATGTACCTTCTTAGTGTTCTGTCTTGAACCCACAGAGGTTCTTTCCTTTTCTAATGGGCCAATATTGTTTTTTGAAGATTTATTTTAGCCAGGTGTGGCGGTAGCACATGCTCTTAACTTCAGCACTCTGGAAGCAGAGGCAAGCAGATCTCTGAGAGTTGGAGGTCTATCTAAGGAGATTTAGCCCAGCCAGAGTGACTTAGTGAGAACAAACAAACAAACAAACAAACAAAAAGACCCTTTTATGCTGGGTGGTGGTGGTGCACGCCTCTAATCCCAGCACTCTGGAGGCAATGGTAGGCGAATCTGTGAGGTCGAGGTTAGCCTGGTCTATAAGAGCTAGTTCCAGGACAACTAGAGAAACTGTCTCAAAAAAACAAAAACAGGAGGCTGGAGAGATGGCTCAGAGGTTAAGAGCACTGCCTACCCTTCCAAAGGTCCTGAGTTCAATTCCTAGCAACCACATGGTGGCTCACAACCATCTGTAATGGGGTCTGGTGCCCTCTTCTGGCCTGCAGGCAAACACACAGACAGAATATTGTATACAAAATAAATAAATAAATAAAATATTTAAAAAAAAAAAAAACCAAGGGGCTGGAGAGATGGCTCAGTGGTTAAAAGCGTTGCCTGCTCTTCCAAAGGTCCTGAGTTCAATTCCCGGCAACCACATGGTGGCTCACAATCATCTGTAATTAGGTCTGGTGCCCTCTTCTGGCCTGCAGACAGAATATTGTATACATAATAAATAAATAAATATTTTAAAAAACAAAAACAAAACAAAATCCTTTTGTTTGTATGTTAAGTGTCTTAAGTATTTTGCCTCTGTGTGTATGTGTGTGTGTGTTTGTGTGTATGCACACCACTGTGGAGGCCACAAGAGGGTGCTAGATCCATGGAACTGGATTACAAAACAGTTGTCATGTGGATATTGGGAATTGAACCCAGGTCTTAAGACCAGGGAACAGCAAGTGTATTTAACTACCAAGGCATCTCTCTAGCCCCAGTTTGTCAACTTGTAGGGAAATGGGAGAGACCACCTAATGTGGTGGCATTTCATTTTGCCATGGACGTCATAGGGTTGCAAGCAAAGAAAGTTCTGTAGCATCTATTAGAACTGTTTCAGGTATGAGATAGTCCTCAATCTCAATTAGAAAAGAAGGTGGTACAGAGGGAGGATGTTGAGATTTTGGCTAGACTAATTCACAATATGCAATGGAGAGCCTCCAACATTTGTTGATGATGTTACACTACCTTGTTTCTGTCTCTTGAATACACAGACTAAGTATATACAAACCAGAAAGAGAAACAGTCTAGTCCTAAACCATGACTGTTGCTATAAAAGAGGCTACTTCTTTCATTCATCTGTCCAAAGCAGCTGTGGCTACCTAGTTATCTCCTTTTCCATAACCCTGTCTGTACTTTTGACCCATTTTTTTTTTTAAAGCAAATATTGGAATGGGAGATACCAACTACCAACTTTGTAAAGTACAAAATATCTAGGGAACTTTTTCTAGTGCCACCCTGTGGAGCACGAAGGGAACAAAAGTCTCCTCCCAACTTTTTTGTGTGCTTTTTAAGGGTCTCACTATGTGTCCCAGGCCGACCTGGAGGTCACTATATAAACCAGTCTGCTTCTCGGGTTAAAGGTACATTCCAACTCCTATTCTTTGTAACTTTTCTCTCCTGTAACAAAGCGGAGACCTGGACTGAGTCCTTATAGCACATGGCCCATAAATTATTCATAGAAGGAAAACGGGTGAATCCATATAGGACCTATCTGCCTTGCATCTTTTTTACCAAAATTAACTACTGAAGGATTTTCCTCCCATATGGAGCCTTTAATCCCTGCCCTAGTGTCTACAGCTGATTTTGCACAGCACCGTGACAACTATATTTAAGCTCAGGGATGGGATAAGGAGAAATTCATCTAAAAAATAAAACAGGCACCTTTTCATGTGCCAAGAAATTCCCAAGTGTTGAGGCCACAACACTGAATAAAACAATTCCCTGCCCTTATAAAATTTACACCTCTTTCCTATAAGAGACTTCAGCAATGAAAGTGATGAGTACATTTGACCTCAGAGAACTTACAGAAGAACAGACCCATGGAGCTGGGGGAGAGCTGAGTGAGAAAATATTCACCTAGCATGTACTTGACCTTTGTTTTATCCTCAGCACGGCAGGCACAGGCACACACACACACACACACAAATTAAAAACCAACTACAAGACTAAAAACCAAAAATAAGTATTGTCATTTTAGTTGTTTAAACTTTTCCCTGGCTCAAGCAAGTGCAACAGGATAGTTGTGAAGCAAGAAAAAGCAGGAATAGAAATTTCCCTAACCATGTGTCTGCCATAGTCCATCTCCAAAGCCTCTCCTCCTTTATTTCCAGGGCAGGTGGCAACTCCCACTCTCTAGGTTCCTGCTCCAGGTAGCCAGGCCAGTTCTGTCTTGTACACATCATTGGTTTCCAAGATGAGTACCACAGATTTGAAGTAGATAACCAGGACATAAGGTGAGCACCTTGACTCTCCATTCAGCCTGGTAAGGAAAGGCAGAGGCCCTTGCTTAGCTAAAGTAGCTGTATTTCATCCATACACATTAGAAAAATGTTAACTTAAGGAGAAGGGTGGAATAGAAAAGCAAAGACTTAAACAAGACCTTTTTTTTTTTTTTTAAGGCAACAACAGAAGTTTTAAGAAACATGTCCTTTCTAGGACAAAAGAGCTTTGTTGTTAGGATAATTTTGCAAACAGGATTTTTAAGATGGAAAAGTTACCCAGATCTTGGAATCTGAGTTCTGAGGACTAACTCTCTCTCTCCAGAATATAGCATGTGAAAACTCTTATGAAGGGATTCTTTCCTGTTCTCTCTAGCCATCCAAAGCCAATGAATTAACCTAGTCAAGTGTCTAACTGCCCATCAGCCATATCTCAGATATTTGGAATGTATTAGTATTTGCTTTTAACCAGCTGGAAATGAGAATGATGTCAGACAATACATGTAAGTACCAGGAAAACCGGAACCAAGCCACATGAACAGAATTCCCGGCAACAGGGTCTGAGCATAGAAGGGTCTAGGGATAAGATACAGTCCTTTGGGGCGGGGGGCTGGTCATGCCTTAAAGGGTTGGAAAGTCAAGCATCATTCAGTTTCTTCCTCTCTCTCTCTCTCTCTCTCTCTCTCTCTCTCCCCCTGTGTGTGTGTGTGTGTGTGTGTGTGTGTGTGTGTATGCACATGTAAGGGAAAAAGACACTATAGTACACGAGGTTGCTTGGGAAAATGGATTATTCTAATAAAACTTTATTTTTTCAAACACAGCCACAGAGGCAGAACCTCATGTTTTAACACACACAGACTTATGGAATTTTTAATATAAAACAAAGTTTACGAAATTTTTTTTTCCACTTTTTGTTTCTGTAATCCCATTAGCACAGGGACTTTGGCAGCAGGTGGGAATGAAGGGCAGCTAGGGCTGCCACTGGGCAGTCACCGGGCACAGGAGGAGAGCATCAGCCTGGGAGTGGCTTCACTCACACACGCAATAATACTCACCTACTGGCCAGCCACACCACACACGCAGCACAGATGCAGACGTCTACACAGCATCAGCCACAAGCCCCGGAGGTGTGCTCCACTCTGGGAAAGCCCAAATGTGAAAACCCAGATAACGAAACCAGCTAAAGTAGAGGGAGGTTGCTCGCTTTACAAAAGAAGCAATCATAGGCTGCTTTTAAATGACCAGCAGTCCAAATGCATCAAAAAATAGCATTTGGTTTACACAGAACTGTCGGGACAGATCTATTGTGTAAAGCAAAATGATTCACGTCTTGAAAAGGCTTGTTCCAGGGCCAGAGGCATTTAAAAAGGGAAGCAAGATGATAGTTCTGCTTAGTTTAACATTCCAGACTTAAAGGAATGGAATTAAACTATGACAACTGTAGGCCTCCTTTCCCTAAGGGTGGTGACCTAAGGGCTCTGGGAAAGCCAGAACGAAGGCAGAACCACTGCCTTCACTTAAACTTAGGGTCTTGCAGAGACCCCATTGGCATTGCCAGTGACCTATTGGAAGCTGACACTGCCATCTGCAGCAGAGACCCCAGGGATGAGGATGCCCGAGGTGGAAAAGAAGCTGGCACCAGGGAAATTATGGACCAGAGAGGGAGAACCAGGGAAGGATAAAACCAAGGATAGGTAACCCCTGGGCTGTTTCCCTGGATTCTCAAGAGAGTTTCTCTTAGGCCCTAGAGACTGGTAGCCCAGTGGTACTATGTGGTAACTAGCCAGGAGATAGGGAGGAGCCCTGGAAAAGTAGAACCTCTGAGGGCCACAGGCTCAAGAAGACATAGCTACCTCCCTTGAAGACACCCTGGAAATTGAACAGAAAAATGCCCTTACTATAATAAATGGGAAGGGCAGGTTCAATTTCGTTATGCAGGGTGTTCTAAACAAAGGCTCGCAGATTGCAATAGTGGCAGCTTCTATACACATGCCCACTGGTGCCAATCCTACCAAGGTACCTACAATCTTTAAGTCCATTACTGTAGTCATTGGGATCTGCTGCACTGGCTGAAGTTGTGGGTAAGAAACAAAAAAGGAAATTCAATCCAACAACAACAAACTCCCAGCTGCTTCTCATAGTCTTTGCTTTACACATCCCCAGCCAATCCCTCAGTGAGCCCCAGCCTCTCTGTGGTCTCTCAGGGCCAATTAGAGGCAAATAAACATTTCCTGGCAAGAGTGGAAGACAAGCAAACTATGAAATGCTGAACGCCCTTCCTCTGTCTCGCAGATCAGAAAGACTGGACCTACATCTTGCAAGAATAAGTTTCCCTACAGCCAGCTTCCAAAAGGTAGTGCTGGGGTGGGCTCAAGGACTTCTGGATACTAAATGTCACTGCTCCTGCTACAGGTCTGCCTCAACATATTCTGGGGATCAACTTTGTCTCTGACTTGAAATATCAGAGCATGAAAGGGTTCCCTTGGTGAAGAAGAGAGAAAACCCCTCCACTCTGCCTCAGCTGCCCATGTGTGTACCTACTCAGAGAACAAGAGAGGCAGACTGTGTGCAGCTTAGGTAATCGATGAACACAATGAACGTGACTTTTCTACAAGCCCTCGCCTTGATACGAGATTTATCTAGTGGGTGAGGGTGGGACTGAGGAAAAGACCATTAGCTGAGGTCACCGTTCTTAGATTCCAAAACAGAGCCATCTGCAGAGCAAGTAATGCTATGAAGTTAAAAGCCTGGCTCCAGAGTTAAGACCAAAAAAATTTAAAAAAAAATTAAAAAAAAAGAGCCCCCTCTTCTCTAGACACCTTGAACAAGCCCAACATCATATTTAAAAAGAGGAAAAAAAAAAAAACCCTCAAGATTCTGGGGGCATCCTGATGCTCTGCTGTTAAAGGAGCAACTGCCTTCCTTCCCTAAGGCTACACAAACACACCTTTCCTCAAGTATACGCCCAAGCACACACACACACTCACACAATTTCTCCAAGGAGGCTGACTGAATGCCCCCACCCTGGCCAAATTCTAAGACACAAGTGCCCTTTGAAGCAAAGGGGCTAGTGAAATTCCCCGAGCTGGGGTCGGCAGACCCCTTCCTTCCCTGCCCATTGCTCTCTCAGTGGCAGGGATACTCACACTCAGGGCCGCCATGGGGAGGGTCTGCTCTGGGGCTGTCCCTCCCGCCACCAGCTCCGTTTATCTTGTCCCGGCCAGTCTCTTGGCATGGTCGAGCTTGCTGGAGCGAGAAGACTTGGGCTGCCCTGAGTCGGAGCCCTCCACTCACCCCCTTTCCCAGGCTGGGCCCTCAGCCTTGGAGCCTCCACACGTGTTAGTAGCCATTAGACAGTCAGTCTGTGTGGCCCCAGGAAGCAGTCTCTCAGGTTTAGTTTTCCTCAATCAGATTCAGGTCCAGGTCCCCAAAGTCCTGCTGGCACAGAGTCCGCTTGTTTAGTTCCTGCCGTCCCCACCGCACAGCCCCCTCTTCTTCCTCTTCACTTTCACTCAGCACATGGGATGAACCCTCAACAGGACTGCAGGAAGCAGAGAGAGGTGGGGGGCTACAGGCCATGAACCATGGTGGAGAGATGCTGCTGCCTTCTGGAGCTGTTTCTTGGAGACAGAGACCTCCTGAGTATGGTTTCTGTCAAATAAAAAGTTAAGACAAAAATATTAACTTCCCATAAGTAACCTAAAATTTAAAAACTTTCCATTGATTACTTTATGTGTATGGCGGTTTTGCTTGGATGTAAGTCTGCGTACCATGTGCACAGAACAATGCCTGCAGAGGCCGTTAGAGGGCATCAAACCTCCTGAAACTGGAGTTACACTACACAGGTGCTAGGAATCAAATTCAGGTCCTCTGGAGGAGTAGATGTGCCCTCCTGGCACTCCAAAAACCTATTTTAAAGGGTCCCTCTCAGTTATACTTGAGGACCGAAATTCTAGACTTTAGAGCAAAGTTTCAAATCATAAAATTTGGAGCATTTAGTATACATGTAAATTCTCTGAGGAAAGAACCCCAGTTTCCCCCATTAATCTATTACTTGGGAGGCAGATCTCTGAGAGTTCAAGGCAGGCCTGGTCTACATAGTGGGTTCTGGATTACAATAATGGCCTGTCTCAAAAAAACAAAGCAAACCAAAACCACAGCAAAGCATAGAAGCCTGGGGGCTGAGTATTAACACAGGGGCAGAGCGTCTGCATACTATGCCTAAGGACACAGGTTCACTCACAAGTACCACAGAATGGAAGCAATGAGTTATGATGGGGCATGGCGGTATCTAAAATCTCATAGCTCAGCAAGCTGAACTCAACCTGGGATAAACAGAAAAACTTTATCTTAAAAAAAAAAAACAAAACCCAGCTAGCTCATTTATAAGCTTTTATAAGCTCCATGCAGCCAGAACACCATCTGCTTATTTGGCCACTCTTGTCTGCCCGAGCCTAAGCAGATTCGAGTAATAAAAGGAACAAACTCTCAGAGACCTGTGACCAAGAAAAATCTGGAAAAAGTAGACAAGTACATCTACAGCAACTGCTCTCAGGCTAGGACTCTAGAAAAGTGCCTGTTAAACTTGTTTCAGCCTCTAAAGGCTCACGAGGCAGTGAGCGGCAGAGGGCAAAGCCAACCCTGAGCACAGGCGCCAGCACTGATGACAGGACTTTCGTGACTTAAGAGTTCCCCGAGAGGACAAGGTTTAATGTCTCAGCCCAGTTTCTTCAAATACCAAGGACAAATCTAACAGGGCTGGAAACTTTAAAGGTTAAAACTCAAATAGTTCCAGGCAAGCCAGAAAGGTCTTCCTAGAACAAACTCCTGAGAAGAGTTCTCAGAGACGCCTGCAGAAAGGCGGAGCTAGGACATGTTTCAGGGGTCTTCCCACTCATCTCCGCTCTTCCGGCTTACCAGTCCCACCTGATTCATCTTGTCAAAGTCCAAAGAAGGCCTCAGGCGCCGGGAGTCCTCCTCGTGACGCCGCTTGATCCCAGTTTTGCGGGCATCCAGGTCACAAGGCTGTGAGCGGCTTCGGGGAAGGTTGCGGGGACCTCGAGGTCTCCAGGGCAGCTCTGGGGAAGATGCAGGGGAGCTCCGGGCAGAGGGCAGGAAGCGGCTTGCCTGTGGGCCCAGGCTGGGTGACAGGGAGAAGCGGCGCTGGGGTGGGCAAGGTGACAGGGACTCAGCATCACTCTCCCAAGAACCATTCTGAGGGGAGGTGGCACAGGGTTGAGAGGAATCTTGGGCCAGGGCCAGGCTGAAGAAAGGAGGGCTGTAGGGTCTGTGGGCTGGGGCACATTGAGAAGAGGCACTGGGAGCTTGGAGGAACCTGAGGCTGGAGACCCGCTTTGGGGGACTCTGGTGAGGCACCTGCGGCCCACCCCCTCCAGCACTGCCCCGGTGCTTGATGGGAGTCCACAGCTTGGAGGGGGCGGGCCGCCACACTGGCTGCCAGCGAGACAGGTCCACAGGCACCGAGAGTGAGCGGCAGTGCCTCTTGGATGGAGGAGCAGGGGGCACAGGAAGCTTCTCTGGGTCTGGGGGTTCGGGGCTTAGTACTTGGGAGAGGGGCTGCTCCTGGGGGGAGCTCTCCCGACTGGGTGGTCTGAGGTGCAGGCTTAGGCCTGAGGGATGGTAGCTGAAGTTGAGGCTGTCCTGGAATTCAGCACAGGAACAGTGGGGCAGGCCCCTCCAGGAAGCACCTTCTGAAAGGCATTCATAATAAAAAGTATTAATAACTAACATAAGAGCTCATGCATCATATAATGCAGCCAATACTTCATGTAGTTTCACAAAAATCCTCATGAAGCAGGTACTATGATTACCCTTTTTCAAGGTGACAGCAGTCTAACTTGCTATCAATGAACAAAACATGATTCAAACTTTACTATATTATGCTACCTTTATCTTAAGAATCAAGAACATTTACACACCATCTGTCACTTCCTCTCAAATGTGCAATTGCCAAAAGAAACCCATATGTCTGTGTGAATGCCCCACTCACCTCCAATCTCCCAGACCAGCCCTATCTACTTGCCCAACCTTCCCTGCGCCCAGTTTGGTTCTGTAAACCAGGCCTATATTCGCTTTCTCTGGCCTTCTTCCTTTCTTATGTGTCTCCAGGACCAAGCAAGGCAGTGCTGCCTGGAGGAAGTAATCAAGCGGCTAAGCAATCACTTTCTTCTTGTTGTTTTTTGGTTTTTCGAGACAGGGTTTCTCTGTGTAGCTCTGGCTGTCACTTTGTAGACCAGGCTGACTTCGAGCTCAGAGATCCACCTGCTTCTGACTCCTGAGTTCTGGGATTAAAGGCATGTGCCACGACCACCTAGTTAAGCAATCACTTTCATTCCAAGTGAGATGTTGGAGGGTCTGGTGGCAGAATGTGCTAGAGAATTTTGTGTTACTTTTGTTCTTCTATGTTTGTTTGTGCATGTACTCTAGTTCCCTTCCCCTTAGGCCTTAAATATAAATTTTTGAAAAAAAATTGTTTTTGAGACTAGGTCTCACTATATTTCCCTGGCTGGTCTGAAACTTGCTATGTTGATCAAGCTGGCCACAAACTCACAGAATCTACCTATATCTGCCTCCTAAGTGCTGGGATTAAAGGTATGTGCCACCATGCCCAGCTTCAAGCCTTTTAAAGACAAATAGATTGAAGGACCAAGTGGGTATATTGTGGCTCAAGCCCATACTTCAAGAATTCTGGAGATGCAGGCAGGAAATGAGTTCACAGTAATCAATAACTACAATGTTGAATTTGAGGCCAACCTGGGAAGTAACATAAAGCAAATGCCCCATGCCTGCCAGAGAACTAAAAGAAAAGGAAATGAGCTAAAAAAAAAATGATCCTCACTCACTACGTTCCAATAAAAACTGTAACTTATGGAGTGTATGTGTGTACACGTTCATGTTTGTGTACATGTTCATGTTCACGTGGGTATGTATGGACATGAGCCCATACATGTTGATCTCAGAGGTCAACATCTGATGTCTTGCTCAACAGCACTCTATCTCATTTTATTTTTAAATTACATTTATTTAATTGTGCCCCAACACACAATCATGTGTGTGCAGGTCAGAGGATAACTTGGAGAAGTCACTCTCTCCTTCAATCATGTGGGTCCTATGGATGGAACTCAGGTCAACAAGAACTTTAGGATACCCTACCTGCCTCCCCCCCCTCCTTTTTTTTTTGAGGTAGGGACCCTCACTCAACTGGTCACTCATCAATTTGGACAGGCTGGCTGGCCAACTGTCTCTAAGTCTCTAGACACTGGAATTAGACTCTGCCACCACTCCTGGTTTTATGTGAACGCTGGGGACCCTAACAAGTCCAAACGCGTATAATGCAAGCACTTTATACCATCTTTCCAGCCCCCGAATTGTGACTTTTTTGGAGACAAGGTCTCATGTAATCCAAACTGGCCTCAAACTTGCTATATAACCTTTATTCTCCTTCCTCTACCTCCCCATGTAAGACCCATTTGGGGGAAATAGCTCACTACAGGACAATGGACTTATTCCAAGTTTTCTCAAGAATTCTCTAGAAAAGGCACAAATCAAAGTATATAAAATCAGACTTGATGACAGCAAGTATTTGGTCAACAGTTCTTCACCTTACTGAACTTCATAAGGCAGGAATAGTGGATCCTTATGGCCGAATACCTGGCTTTCAACAAGTGTGTAAGGAAGAGAAAGAGAATGGATGTAGCTGCTTGCCAAGTACCCCAGAAAAGGAAATGGGTAGCAGTCCAGCAACATGGGTTAGAGAGCTTCTGGCTGTCTTAGCTATGCTTATGATCCTAGGCACTTTGATTAATTCATACTCTAGAAATTTACATTTCAGATGTATTTTTACATATCAAACATGACCTAGGGGCAAAGCTATTCACTACAGTTCTCTGTAAAGAATAGAAAATGAGTCTGGAGAAGTAGCTAATAGGTGAGAACACTTGCGGTGTAAGCATGAGCCCTAGAATTTAGATCCTAGCACAAATAGCCAGGCATCCACCCCTGAGTCTGTAGGGTGGAGACAGGAGGATCATGGAGGCTTGCTGACTGCAAGCCTACCTCCAAATGAAAGACTGTCTCAAAGGAGTGAGGCAGAGGGAGAGAACACAACATCTGACACCCTCCTCGGGCTTCAGTGCACATGTTTAGTATCCATACATGAATACACGCATATACAATACATGCACACACACCCCAAAATTAGAAGACTGCAAATGTCCAAATCTCCATCAACAGGGAGTCGGTAAGTGAATAGAGATCCATGCAGTTCAGTAACGTACAATACATAAAACAGGAAAATGCTCAGACAGACAGGGAAAGGTACTCAGCTGCACTAAGCTATAATGAAGCGCGGACTAGCAGAAACTCTGTGCCAAAAAAACAATAAAGCAAATAGACTTATATTTGCCTCTACTTGTATACAAATATCTAGGTGCTGCGAGAGGATCAGAGAATAAAGGTATTTGCTGGCAAGCCTGATGACCTGAGTCATCCCTGAAATCTACACAGTAGAAGCAGAGAACCAACCCAACACTACAGGCCATGGTATACATACCCCGCCCCTCCATAAGTATAATTTTTAAAAATTAGACATTATGAGTTAGGCCTGGTGGCACAGACCTGTAACCCCAGAGGCTGAGGCAGGAGGTTATAAAGTCAAAGTCAACCTGTGACATTTAGAAACGCCCTACCTCAAGATAAAAAAGTAAGCTGGGCATAGAGCCACACACCTGTAATCCCAGAACTCAGGAAGTAGGAGCAGAGAATCGGGAATCAATATCAGCCTCAACTACAGAGCAAGATCAAGACAAAATAGAGTTGGAGATGCAGTCCTGCTGTGGACTAATCCTGTACTCCATGAAGATGTGTTGCTCTCATTGTTAATAAAGAGCTGACAGGCCACTAGCTCGCTAGAGGTTAGGTGGGACAGCCAACCTGAGAGGACGCTGGGAAGAAGAGCAGAGTCAAAGAGGTGCCGTGGAGAGCTGAGGAAGCAGGAGATGAACATGCCACGCTGAAAAAAGGTACTGTCTCATTGTACAGTGTAAATAAGAAATACAGGTTAAGTTGTAAGAGCTAGTTAGTAACAAGCCTAAGCTATTGGCCAAGCATTTATACTTAATAAGTTTCTGTATGGTTATTTGGGAGTCAGTTGGTGGGACAGAAAAACTCCACCCACACAGTCCTGTACAGAGTGCTTGCTCAGTATGTCTTAGCATGAGGTTCAATCCCATGTACTACCAAAAAAGAAAAGAAAAATGTCTAGTTGGATGTGTGTGTACAAGAAACTAGTTAACAGAACCCAAGCAAGAAAGCTCAACAGATAAAGGTAGCTGCTGTCAAGCTTGTTGACTTGAGATGGATCCCTAGTCCCTAGAAGCAACATGGTAGAAGGAGAAACCCAACTCCTGAGGCACAGTGTCCCCTCACCTCCACATATGTACTCAACATTCATGCACACACAGCCCATCCGTCCCCTCCCTCCATGTAAAAAAGAGAACAAGAAATTCATAGGTCAACAAGATGGCTCAAAGGGTAAAGGTGCTTCAGGCCAAGCCTAATGATCTGAATTTGATCATCCCTAGGACCCATGTGGTGGGTGAGAACTGATTTTCTATAAATTGTCCTCTGACCTCCACACACTGTAGCATACATGTGCATACATTTTATAAAATAAATGTAAAAAAAAAAAGACAAACAAAACCTAGTGATAGGAGTCGTCTCTCCATTCCATATATATAGTTCTTAAGAACAAAGGAAGAGCCGCACATACACTGGCCAAACGCCCTGTCACTGAGCTGTGGCTTTCAGAAGTTACTTTTAGAGAGGAACTAGGAGCTAAATGGATTGGAAACAGGAGACAATGACTTTTATCAATGTAATATTTTTGCTATTTTTAAACTACGTAAATGTATTACCTCTTCAAAGCAATTACATTAAGAAAGTTATACTGATCGAGGCTCACACCTGTAACCCAGAACTCAATAGCAAGACTGTTAAGAGCTCTAGGTCAGCCTGGACTAGGAGATCCTGCCTCAAAAACTAAACGTGGTTTCCCGACAAGACAGTAAAATAAAGATAAATAGCACTCTTAGAAGGTGGCCTTGACAAAAACAAAAAACAATCAAACAAAAGCAAGCTGGTAGGTGGTGGTGGAGGCAGTAGTAGTGGGTTTTAACCCCAGCACTTCCGAGGCAGAGGAAAGTGGAACTCTGAGTTCCAGGCCAGCCTGATCCACAAAGTAAGTTCCAAGGCAGTCAGAGCTACACAGAGAGCCCATTTCTGGAAAAATAAAAACAAAGAAACAAACAAAATGAAAACAAAGAAACAAACACAATAAATAAAGAGAGAGAAAAAAGAAACAAACACAAATGAAAACAAACAAAAATAGAAAAAAAACCAAGTTGGGGTGGTGGCAGGACGTCTCTAACACTTTAATACTTGAGGCAAAAGCAGGAGACCTCTGCGAATTCAAGGCTAGCCTGGTCTACAGAGTAAGACCCTGTCTCAAAACAAAACAAAACAAAACAATTAGGCCACCACAAAAACTAGAAGTAGGCTAACCATCTCTGGTCACTAAAAATTAATCAAAGAACTGTGTGGACAGAAGTACAAACACACACACACATATAAACCACAGATTCCTTACCAGACACAAGCTGGAAAGGGTTCCCACAGTTGGATATGTCTGCATGATCAGGCAAAGGCTAAGAGAGAGATTATCCATCATTATTTGGGTTCAGGACAAGGACATTTCTAGAGAGACCTCTTATATTCTTCCTATAGCTCATGAGCTACCAGCATATTAGAGACTTCTGTGTTGTTCTCTTCCCATTGTCTTCCCAAAGTTGGTGAGAAACAATCCACACCTTCAAACATTACAAAGCCCTTTTCACCCAAGTTTTAGTGTTCCTGCCCCCTTCCTCTCAGGCTGGATTTTGAGCCGTTAGTGGGCTTTTCCAGTACAAGCATGTTTCATACAACACAGAACAAGGGTAAAGACGTAGCAACAGCCTCCAAGAAAGGGGCTAGATCATGAAGAAGCAGAAACACTGGTCTTTTACCAGACTGATGCTGAAGCGCGTGCATTTCAGCTCATCCAGGGTCTGCTTCTGTAGCTGCTCAGTGATCAGGGTTATCATGTTTTGTCCAGGATTTGACTTGCACACTTTGGAGCAAGTGATGGATGTCTTCTGTCTTTCTTCCAGGTCTCACTCGTGAGCCGACTTCTGCCACTGCAGCACCATTCTAGCACCATTGGGACTTCCCTCTCCAGTCATGCCTGCTGAGTCTGCCAATTACAGAGGGATCGGCCCCAAGTAACATTAGAGATGTTCCTGATGCAGAGATGGAGAATGCATGGCACACATACCACAGCACCCCTATGCCAGGCCTCTGGCAGACATCATTAATTGATCATAGTACTCTCCCGGCAAGCCTAAAAAAAAGTCTCAGAAACACATTGAACTAGGCACTCTAGATATCCAGTAAAATAAATTAGAGATGGCAAACTGAAGCCTATTTACTGTTCCTAACCTGGCTTATGCTCTGTTGTGTCTACCTAGAATATCAGCACCACTTAGGAAACAGCTCAAAAGAAAGATGCCCAAGTGGTTATTTCCATACAGAATTAGTACAATATTCTCTTTATCTTACAGCCAGAAGTCAAGAAAGGAGCCCTTCTCCTAAACCACTGGGGCTCAGTGCAGGGAGAGGAGCAAGGCATGACTTTCTGCTTCAGATCAGAATAGGATTTGGAATCCTCCTATGGCCTAAATAGCTGATACATCTTTATTCCCCAGCAGATATTGTGGGTATTCTCTTACACAACAAGAAGGAATGGTCAGGGTGGTTCCGATTACATTTCAACTGTACAGATATTAAAAACAACTCCATGACTTCATTCAGCCAAGTTTTTTTCATGATCCCACTCAAAGGCCATGAGTTTAGCTAACCAAGAATCTTCCTTATGACTGAAGCAAACTACTTTTTTTTTTTTAATCAGAGAGCAAGCTTCAAAATCCCACACATTACTACCTGAGGGGCCTTGGCTTGCTCAGTGGGAGGCCAACATCTTTTCTTCTACCTCTTCCATAACTAACCAACACGCAGACCAGAGTGGAGGATTAACTAGTACAGAGAACAATTAACCAAGAAATCTAAGTCCTGAGCACACACCTGGGATTCCAGCAGTTGGGAGGTTGAAAGCAGGAACATGAGAGCTCATCAAGGCAAGCCTGGGCTACAAACCTGTCTAAAACACCAAGAGAAAAGGCTGCCGCCGCCACCACCAAGTCTTAATTCAATTTGCTCAGTTTCCGCTGACCACATAACATCCCCGCTTACCCACACCCAAGATGGGTATAACAATCTTATTCTAGCACAGGAACGCGGCTACATGAAATACCGAACTGTACAATACCTTAACAACTGGCCTAGAAAAGGTACAAGTTCACATAGGCTTGTTTCTTATCGCTCCTGTTTGCTGCTCCTCAAAAGCCTTGGCGTGCCCGAAGTGGTGCTACCATTAAGATGAAGAAAGCTATAGGGTCTATCTCTGGCTGGACGCCATCCTCCCTCACTTGTTCACCAGGGAAGAGCCTAAGGGGTCGGGCTCTTCCTCCTTTGGCCTTGCTGGGGGTGGGCGTGGGGGTGGGACACCACCCCAACAAAAAAAAAGAGGGTATCACCTCAGATAAAGGCAACAAAGCAAGCAAAGCACCCTAGGATGTATTCAGAGTTCTTTGGAAGAGAGGTGCAGAAGTCAATCGCCGCTCTAGTTAACTATCATTTCCACGCATAATTAGTACTACCACTCTGAACAAAGTTCCAGCTTCCTGCGAACTGCCTTCAGCTGCTTCCCCTGTGTTCTGGTAGGAGACGCTAAAGCCGGAATAACTTCTGCTCCTATTTTCTTAGCTCTGCCCTCAAAAATCAACAAGGCAACCTAAGTGGAGACTTTTACCCTAGAGACCCCAGGCTGACCAGACAAGGAGCAGGGAGTGAGAAACCTTTGAAGCTTTTCATGAGGCATTTGGACAAGCAGCAAACTCCCAGCCCTCTCTAGAAGCAGCTGAAGAGAGTGATTTTCTATTTTTCTGCATTTTAATTGTTGGGATGTGGCCACACACAGCGGTAATTGGAACAATGCAACTACCACCACGCAAATGATACTCTGAGCCCGAATTTCCTAAAACAGGCCAGGCTGAGAGGGGGAACAGAACGGAAGCCATAAGGAATCAAACCAGGACACAAAAGAAGGCAAACCAGCTCTGCAAGGGGCCTTCTCGTTCTCAAGCAGACATTAAAAAAAGTGTGAGAAGGCCTCTCTGGCGGCCTTCCTTCCCCTTCCATTTTGTGGATCTGAAGGGTAGACAGCCCTCGACATACACTAAACAAGTTAAAACTTCTCAGCTTTTAACATTACTGGCACAAGGCTCAGCCCTTCACTGAGCAGCAGGCCGCTCGGCCCTCCCAGCAACCCCACCAGGCCTAACTCTCAACCCAGTATCTCCCCGCACCACAAGCCCCCTAAGATAACGACTGACCCTCCTCCCCATTGGATGGAAGTAACCCCTGACACTTGCGTTTCAGGGATACTGAGGTTGTGCTGAAACCTGGACAAGCTAGCAGTCAGGCGGGGGGGGGGGGGTGCTCAGGGAAAAGTCAAAAAATCCCTGGGGGCAATCCCCCCAGGTCCCAGTCCCAAACCTCTGGGAGAAACTGAAGGAAAACCTAAGCGAGGCGGGGAGGTGCAGTAAAAGGTAAAGGGGTACCAGACTGCTCTTCTTCCATATGGCTCTGGTGAAGATAGGGGTGACAAGTGGGGTGCACCCATCCCCCCACCACGACGAAAGAGCAAACGGCTAGGCTACCTCTAATCTTCAACCTCTCCCTCAGTTGCCCTGCCTGTCCCCGCGGGGTGGGGCATGGGGCATCTACTGGCTCTCGGGGTGGGGGGGGCACTCCAGGGTTTGCTCAGGGGGACTGTCGTTCTCCTCTTTCCAGTCGGGTTCCCCATCTGACCGCGGGAAGCGAACTCAGGACGCAGAGGATGGGGAGGGTCTGGGACATGCACTCCGCCACCCCCTCCCCCACCGGGTCCCGTGCTCTCCCGCCGAGGCGGCCCTGCAAGGCTCGGCCGCACCAGCGGCTGGACTGGGGGGAGGGGAGAGAGGGAGGGACGGTCGCGGTGCCCGCCCCGAGGCCCCAGCACCACCTGCCCTCCGCTACCTACCGCGGCTCCTCCAGCTCCCGGGGCCGCGGCCGGAGCAGCTCTGAGCGCTCCGTTCGCCCCACGGTGCCCTTAAAAGGCGCTAGCACGAACCAACGGGCCCTTGAGGAGAGTGGGGGGGATCGCTCCTGTTCTCAGAATCTCCCGGAACGGCCCGAAGAGGCCCGAGCCCTATGTGGTTTCTCCCTTAAGCTTTTTCTGAATAGTGCCGTCGGAAAGGAGCCTAGAGCTGTGATTTGGGGACGCGATGGTTTCCTCACTAACGAATCACCCCCTCCAAAATATTGCAGAAAGTGGACGAGCCCAGTTGGAAGCATATCCTGAAGCCCGTAGGGGAAGCCATGTCGGATAAAGGTAAACAAAGCCATTGTCCGCTCCGTCCATTACTTCATCTTCCCAACTGAACTGTCTTACTTAACTCAGACCCCGAAACAGTATTAGACACAGCCTTCTCACCTGGCCTCCTGTCCCTTCCGAAACAGCCACCTTTCTGAAAGCATCCCCCCCCTTCCCCTGGCAAAGGATCGATCCTTGGTGTGAAGGCTGCCGGGAAATGTAGTCCAAGCGTCGATCAGGGCCTGCTCTGAGCCCCTGGAGCCCCTCTTCTAGCTGCGGATCTGATGGAACCTTTATAAACCTGGGATTTATAACGGATACGGGGCTGTGTCTTATTCTATAATTTGTCCTTCCCCAAAATACTTTGTAAAGCTGAGGCGGTCCCGAGGCTGTTCACTCCCTCCCTTCCCTATCCGCCTCACCCCCCCCCCCCAGCAGGATGAGGTAATGGGATTGTGATTATGACATCATAGGTGGTTCAGTTGCGAGGTGTGTGTATGTGTGGAAGGGGAGCACGGTGGTTATGGCTGAATCACTCTCTGAAGACCGAGAGGAAGGAAACTGGCCTATGAGGAACCGATGCCGACAGTACTGTATTTCCTCTTCAGGAACTGGAAACCACCTTTTTATTAAATCTCCACTACCACCACCATCTCTCACCTCAGCCAAAGTTTTAAGTCCTCTTTCAAGAACTGAATGTTGATATAGGTGGTGTGGTGTGGGGGGAGCCAAACCACCATACAGGTTCCTGGCTCTTCGGTAAGTTGGAGTCTCAGCTGACTAAAAAGTTTCCAATAAATGCTGTCGTGCTGTGATCACTAGTAGGTCATAGTTTTAGATGTCCTTTTTAATTGGTTGGAAAGTAGTCATTCCAGTCACTTGGCTATAACAGTAGTAGCAGCGAGTCCCTACAAAATACGGGTTTTCTTTAGTTTGCACCCTACACGTCTGGGATAGGTAAACGGCGGTAGGCTCAGTGGTGAGGCTCTTCCTCTTTGAGCTCAGGAGAAGAGGAAACAGGACCCTTCAAGTATGCAAACTGAAAAAGAATGGGAAAAAAAGTTATTAAAGAGTGGAGGTGGAACGTCAGGTGTGGTGGCACATATGTAAAATCCCAGCACTTGGGAGGCAGAGCCTAGCCTGCTCCACATTTCAGGTACCAACCAAGTATATAGGGAAACCTAAAAAATAGGAGGAGGAGGGTGAAGATTCACTTTGCATTGTACATTTGACAAAAATATGGAAACATGGTTCCCAGCAATTGCACTGTGCTACTTACTTTATGTCCTTGTTTTTGAGGCAAGCTTTTATGTAGCTCCTGCTGGCCTCAAACTTACTATGTAGCTAAGGATATCCTTAAACTCTGTTCTTCCTGCCTCAGCCTCCCAGATGCTAGGATTACAGACATAGACCTCCAGGTCTAGTTGCAATATATACTTTTTGTTTTGGTTTTGATTTTTGGAAACAGGGTCTCTTTGGGTAGCATTGGCTGTCCTGGAACTCACTCTGTAGACCAGGCTGGCCTCAAACTCACAAGAGATCCACCTGTGTCTGCCTCCCAAGTAGTTGGATTAAAGACATGCGCCGCCACTGCCTAGCTTGCACTATATAGTTTAAGTAAATATATTTATTATCGTTTTCCTTTCAATCACCATATTTAAAAAATCAACAACAAAAGCACCTGAAAGCTTAAATGGCAGCCAAATAGTAGGTAAAGGTTATATCAAAATCTGAGACTCTAACTCCTTGTTTGTTTGGTTGGTTTTTTTGTTTTGAGATAGGAACTCACTGTGGACATCTGGCTGTCCTGGAACTTACTATGTAGACTAAACTAGCCTACAATTCACTGAGATCCCCCTGCCTCTGCCTCACCAGTGCTGAGATTACAGACGTGGACCACTATACCCAGGAACACCTTGCTCCCCTTTTATTACTATTATGTTTACTAACGTTAAATGGCTGTGTGAACGTTAAGTGCTTATTTGCAAAACATTGAAAGAAACCAAGTCTTGAAATTTACAATCCCCCAATCCTTGAGAGAAGCAGGAGGATTACCATAAACTCCAGGCAACCCTGGGTTACATAGCGAATTCTAGGTCAACCTGGACTACAGAGTAAGATGCTGTCTCACCTCCCTTTCACCAACAAATGAATAACTAAATAAATAAAATTAAAAAGGAAGGAAGGAAAGAAGGAGATAAAGCAACCTTAAGGACAAGTAGGCAATATAGCTCAATACTGCAAGGCAAAAGAAAACTGCAAAACAAAATTTAAGACCACTGCAAGTCATGCATAAGAACTCATTTGAGGGGTCGGAGAGATGGCTCAGCGGTTAAGAGAACTGGCTGCTCATGCAGAGGACCCGGGTTAGATTCCCAGCACCCACATGGCATCTTATTCCTGCCTGTAATTCCAATTTCAGAGTACCCCTCACCCTTACACAGATATACATGCAGGCCAAGCTCTAATGCACATGAAATAATAAAAAAATTTAAAAAAAAAGAAAAAAAACTCATTTGAAAGGAAGGGCACACCACGTTTCAGTGTGGCCTGAGATAGCCTACCCGTAGAGCCAACACTGCCCATACCTATGCCTGGTTCAATTTTCAAGGGTATTTTTGATTGCCCTGTTGATGTTTTTGTTTGCTTGCTTGCTTGCTTGCAGGTCTTGTTTTTGTTTGGCAACAGGCTGGCCTTAACCTCCTGATCCTACTGTTAATTTCTGTAATAAAGAACTCTTAATATTTCATACAAATCAAGTTTTAAATGACAGAAATAAACAATTCCTGGCCCTTGACTTTTCCCTTCCCAGTGCTGGGATTACAGGGGTCACCAACATGCCCAATTCCCTTTGTTCTTTTTGTGGTGAAAGAGATGAAACTCAGGGCCATGTGCATGGAAGGCCACACCCTCTATCTCCAGCCCCCAGCTCTTCTGGACTCTACCGTGTGCCCTCATAGGTCAGACCCCATCTAGTTCCCTAATCCAGTGGTTTTTGGCAGAGGACACTACCTGGGCCTCTTTCTGGCCTCTGTCCCAATTCTCTGAGGATTCCGGAGCCTGGAGCCAGTCATCCAGAGGATCATCCAAGGGAGTAGAATCCACCGGCCTTAGGGAGTTCTTACTGGCCTTCCTGCAGAGGCAGCGGAGTGGGAGAACATGCACTCATGCAGATACCCCCCACTTCTACCCAACAAAACCTAAATCTTGCAAAGTGGAGAAAGTAGGGCTCATCCTACACCACTCATAGAAGGAGCCGGATTAGTGAACACACCCCAAAGCCTCCCTGTCATGCAGAGGCTGGCTTGGGGGGTCCCAGGTATGCAGGGCTCTTCTCCATTGCCTGATCTGGGCATCCCAGGATCGGCGACTGTACCTCCTGTTTTTGTTTGGTGTTTGAGGGTGAAACCCAGGCTGTCGCTGTGCCCTGGCAACAACAAATATGGGTCAGATTGAGGTCAAAGGAAAGGGATACTGCTCATTGCTTACCGCAGGGAATCAGAGGCCTAGATAGGGATTACCCAAGGGCAGGATAATACTCCATTCCAGCAAATACAGTGGGACCAGACCTGGTGGCACATACCTAGAATTCTGAAATCTTAGCACTTAGAGGTGGAGCAGGAGGATCAGAATTTCAATGTTATTATTGACTGACTACACATTGAGTTTGAAGCTAGCCTAGGCTACATGAGACTAAGAGACACAGAGGGAGGGGGCAGGGAATAACACCCATTTCAGCAAGCACATATACTAAAGTTAGAATTATACAGAAGCTTAAACTGGTCCCTGATTAAGGATGAGATCCAACTTTTGGATGCATTTCACATTGTGTGTGTGGGGGGAGGGAGGGAGGGAGGGAGAGAGAGAGAGAGAGAGAGAGAGAGAGAGAGAGAGAGAGAGATTAAAATAGAAAGGGAACTAGAGAGGAGAGAATATTGGAATGTATATGACATGAAAACAGAAGAGGGGTGCTGGAGAGATGGCTCAGAGGACGTGGGTTTGATTTCCAGCACCCACATGGTGGCTCGCAACTGTGTGTAGTTCCAGTTCTAGGGGATCTGATAACCTCTTGTGGCCTCCACAGGCATACATGTGGTGCCCAGACATACATGCAGGGAAAAAACCCCATATACATAATAAAAGAATTAAAAACAATGAACAAAGAATAATGGAATACATTCGTATAATGAAAACATCACAGCGAAATCCATTCCTTTGTACATTGACAAAGAAAATTAATAATAAAAAAGGAAACATGGGGGCCAACAAGATGGCTCAGTAGGTAAAAACATTTACTGGGGTGCGGGAGTGCTGATGACCAGTGCAATTCCCAGAACTGCCTATGCTGGAAGTAAAGAACAACTTTTGAAAGTTATCCTCTGACTTTGACAGGCACATCTGCACTCACACAACTCACACATTAAATGATAAAAACGGGGGCTTGAGGGATGGTTCAAAGGTTAAGCACACTTGGCTGCTCTTCCAGAGGTCCTGAGTTCAATTCCCAGCAACTACATGATGGCTCACAACCATCTGTAATGAGGTCTGGTGCCCTCTTCTGGCATGGAGGTGTACATGCAGGAGGCACATTGTATATGTAATAAATCTTTTGGAAAAAGGATAAAAATAAAACAAAACAAAGACTTTAGAAGAAAGAAACAAGCAAGCTTTGAAAGTCTTCTGGGTTAAGGCTTTTTCTACTTGAGAGAAATCTCACACTTATTTTGGGGGACTAGGTTGTGGGAGAATTGGTCATTCTACACCTTTGCTAGAACACTCAGCTGCCAGTGATCTTTTCATCACTTGACAATGAGCTACGGCTGTCTGGTTGGCATTCTGGTTGTAACCACCCCCAGTTGCACTCACCTGGGGACTTGCTGCAAAAAGCACTGGTAACCAAGTGTGCACTTGCCGTAGTCTATCTGCTTCTGCCGCCGCTGCAGGACCACCTGATCTGTCTCAACTTCCCACCTGCAGGGAAGTATGTGTAGTGCCTTGAAAAGAATAACTATAGCCACCAAAGCAGAAATAAGCGCATCTCACCCTCACTTAAACCCCAGGCTTATTTTTCAACTTACCTGGCATGACAGGGCTCTGTGATGACTCCCACACTTACCATCTCTACCCTAGAGGACAAAAACTTTCCACACACCTCCTTTCTGGGGAAGCAGTGTCTGCAGGTGAAAAGGATGTTAAAATAGAAACAGGATGAATAATATCCTGCATCTCCCTTCCACCATCAAGATTCTCATAGGAGATAAAGGTTATGGGTTTTTGTTTGGGGCTTTGGTTTTCAAGAAAGGGTTTATCTGTGTAGCTTTGGAGCCTGTCTTGGAACTCACTCTGTAGACTAAGGTTGGCCTCAAACTCAGAGATCCCTCTGCCTCTGTCTCCTGAGTGCTGGGATTAAAGGTGTGCACCAGCATGCCCAGCTTCTTTTTCATGTGTGTGGGGTGTGTATGTGTACATCTGTTCACATGTGTGGATGCGTATGCGTGCTTATGCATTAGGTCAGAGACTGAAGGCAGGTGTCTTAGTCTTCACCTTGTGTATTGAAGTAGGGTCTCTCGTTTGAACCCAGAGCTCACAGATTTGGCTTGTCTAACTAGCCGGCTTGCTCCAGGTGCTTCTGCTCCTGAAGGCTAAGATAACAGGCAGGCCGTCGTGCTGACCAGCAGTTATGTGGGTTCTGGAATCCAAATTTGCCTTCTGCTTGGTCTGCAAATGCTTTACCCACGGATCATGTCTCTAGTCCTCAAGTCCAGCTGTAAAGGTTATTTTTCTGACTTTTCTCAAAAAGTGGCCTGCTATTAGCATGAGTAGTACCTGACAGCCTTGATCATTCCCAGGCCATACTCTATACATCTACCGGCCTGCATCTAAAATAGTTCCTAAGGTTTTATATTAAAACAGTTCCTTTGTTTTTGAGACAGGGTTTTACTTGGTAGCCCAGGTATCACTGAACTTGTGATCCTCTGGCCTTAGCCTCCCAAGGGCTTTGACTACAAGCTCTCACCACCAAGTTCCCCACATTTTCTTTGATACTAGGTCTCATTATGTAGTAATCCTTCTTCATCCTCTGCAGAGCTGGGATTACAAGTGGACATTACCATACCCATCTTAAAAAATTTAATGAGGAAAAATTTCGAGAGAGGGGTGGCAACACATGCCTACAATCCCAAAATTTAGGTGGTTAGGGCAGGAGAATCATGAGTTTGAGGTCAACCAGGGATATATACTAAGACCTTGCCTCAACCAACCATTAAAAAGAAAAAAAAAGAAAATTTGCTGGAGAGATGGCTCAACGGTTAAGAGCACTGGCTGCTCTTCCAGAGGATCTGGGTTCAATTCCCAACGCCTACATGGCAGGGGATCTGACACCTTCACACATATTTATGTGCGGGAACATGAAATCAAAATAAATAAATTATAAAAAAAAGAAAGACAAGAGGCGGGCGGTGGTGGTGCACACCTTTAATCCCAGCACTCGGGAGGCAGAGGCAGGCGGATCTTTGTGAATTTGAGGCCAGCGTGGTCTACAAGAGCTAGTTCCAGGACAGGCTCCAAAGCTACAGAGAAACCCTGTCTCGAAAAATAAAAGCAAAAAAAAACCAAAACAAAACAAAAAACAAAACAACAAGAAAGACAAGAAAAAATTCACCTCTATTCTGAAGCAGAGTATAGGAAACTGGATGGGTATGGCATCACACACCTGTAAACTCAGAATCCAAGTGGCTGAGGCAGAAGGATTTCAAGCTGAAGACAAGTTTAGGCTAAACAACACACAAAAAGCATAGCATAATGCTTTGTTACTTAAGAGTATGGTCCTGGGGCCAGAGGCATCATCATCAGCTGAGAATTTGTTATGAATGTAGAAATTTTGGTCTCATACCCTGACCGACTGAATCAGAATCCAGTTCCTCAGGATCTCCAGGTGGTTAGTATGTATGTTAACTAAAATTTCCCACCCAGTCATCACCCCCACATTCATGGCCAATTATCTAATCTATACTCACCCCTGCTCTCAAAAGATTTGGAGGAAATAAAAAAGACCAACATAAGAACTTCTTGGGCTCAGGAGCTGGAGAGGTGGTTCAGCAGTTAAGAGACATACAGCTCTTGCAGAGAAGTTGAATTAGTTTCCCAGCACCCCTGTTGAGCAGCTTACAACTGTCAGTAACTCCAGCTCTGAGGGGATAGCCTCTGACCTTCCAACTGGCACAAATTCTTACTCACAAACACACTCACTCACTCACACACAATTAAAAATAAAAGAAATTGAAATCAGGTGGTGGTGGCACATGCCTTTAATCGCAGCATTTGAGAGGCAGAAGCAGATGGAGCTCTGTGAGTTCGAGGCTATCCTGGTCTACAAAGCAAGTTCCAAGGAAGCCAGAACGGTTACACAGAGAAACCCTGTCTCAACAAAACAAACAACAACAACAACAACAACAACAACAAAATCTAAAAGCTGTTACCGGGGAGTTACATCTAAATGACAGTACTTGTCTAGCATCCCCAAGGCTCTGATTCCATTCCTTCCATTCCTATTCTCACCACCACCACCACTACTAATATAATAATCTTCGCATCCCTCTCCTCCTTCTAGAAGGATCTCACTCTAGCCCAGGGTGATCTGGAGCTGACTGTGTAGTGCAGCAGGCTGCCCTCAAATCACGGCGATCTTATCTCAGTCTCTCAAATGCTGGGTTACAGTTGTGAAACCATCCCTCTCCCTACATATAAACCTCATCATCTTGTCAATGTTCAAAACTACATAAATAGATAAAGGTTAAGATCCTTTAGAATGTCGTAAGGATTACGTCAAAAGGTTCAATTCCTCTATTCTCCCTAAAAAAGAATTTCTACCCAGAAAAGGTCTTGGAAGTGGTCAGCGGCGATTCAGCATCAACACATACCTGTCATGCCCCAACAACTGCCACGCCGGCGACAAATGCTCCATTTCCAGCCGAAAGCTAACACAACTCAAGAGAAACAACGCAAGAAAGTAATAAGGAGAAGGAAACACTTCCAACTCAGAAACAATTCCTCCAGCCCATCATCGTTAGCGGGGCTCTATTTAAACCTCCCGGGGTTGCTGGGGTTGCGGGGAACTGAGACTGGAAGGGTGTGGCGATTGGCTAGAGGGAGAGCCAATGTACATCAGACTCTCTGTGTGCCGGAGAGACACGAGCCTAGCGATTGGTCAGAGGGTGGGGTCATGGTCTGGAATGCTGATTGGCTGACGCTGCAGGCAGGCGGGCGGTGATAGGTTGTTGAGAGAGCGGAAGGTTTGAATGGTCAGACCTATGACTGTTGGTCTTGTCCTTCTGTCAGTTCAGGAGAGAAGCTGCAAAGCTAGACCTCTAGCTACATAGAGACAATTTTAACCCGAAAAACGCTTCTGTTCCTCAGATTCCTTGTCATCCTGTGGAGTCTTCTCTTCTGTCCAGTCCTGCAGGAGTTTCTCCAAATTTAAGTCCGCCTCTACTTAAGGTAAGCGGAGAGCTGTGTCCGTTCGGGAATCTCTGCAGGATTCTTTCGGAACCAAAGGTCCCCAAAGCCTTATCTCGTTAGTTAGATTCATTTTTTTTTTTTTTTCTGGTCAAGAGTGTGAAACTGGATGATTTGGATCAAGCCAATCTTCTCTTCGTTCCACTTTTGAAATCCTGAACTCGCCAGAGGTCTGTAAGTTTTCGCCCTGAGCAACTGCAGTGTGACATTCCAGCTGCTTTAGACTTGATCCTTGATCCGGGCTTAGGCAGGCACTGGAAAGGGCGGAGAGGTTGAAAAAGTTGAACATCTGGCGTGTTCTTCTCTTAGATAACCCCCCTCCCTTGGTGAAGACTTGGAAGTCATGTCTACAGCACCTTTTCCATCTGCAAGAGAAGAGGAACGTTCTGTTTCAGCACCCAGTTTTAGGTCCAATCAAAGGAAGATGTTACACCTACTTTTGGAGAGAAACGCTTCTTTTACCGCCCGTTCAGACTTCCCTGGATCTCCAGGAGACAAACTCCTTGATTTGCCAAACCTAAGCATTTTGTCTGGGTAAATTCATTTTTAAAAAAGACTTATTTTTTTAATGATGTATAGGAGTGTATGTATGTGTGTGTATATCACATGTGGATATATGTTTGTGATTGTAGGTGTTTTCAGAGGTCAGAGACATTGTACCCCTGAAGTTACAGGTGGTTGCTCTGCTTGAAATGGGTGCTGGGACCCTAACTACAGTATTCTGGAAGAATTTTTTTTGTTTGTTTTTGTTTTTTGTTTTCAAGATAAGGTTTCTCTGTGTACCAGCCCTAGCTGTCCTTGAACTAGCTCTTGTCCAGGATGACCTTGAATACACAGAGATCTGCCTACCTCTGCCTCCCAAGTGCTGGAATTAAAGGCGGGCAGCACCGCTGCCCAGCGAGAACAGCAAACTCTTAACCAGAGCCATTACTCCAGAAAATAAACTAATTTTTAGTTTTACACCTTATTTTTGATTTTATGAGGTTTCTTTGCTGAATTATCCTGTTTCAAGTTTCAGGGTTTGAGTCTCAACCATGAACTTGAACATGTGACTCTTTTGAATCTTGAGCTTCCTTTTTATGTAACAAACAATAAAAAACATTTTTTTTCTATCTGGGACTTGGTGGAGTATGTTTGTTAAGACAGGATGACCACAGATTCAAGGCCAGCCTGGGTTTACCTTGAATTTCAGGACAATTAGTGGGCTATGGAGTGAGACTCTATTGCAAATAAATAATAACAAGAAGAAAAAAAACCATATCTTTTTTAAAAAAATTATTTATTTTGTGTATGGCTACATATATGCTTATACACCAGAAGAGAGCATCAGATCTCATTACAGATGGCTGTGAGCCACCATGTGGTTGCTGGGAATTGAACCTGGGTTCATCTGGAAGAGCAGCCAGTGCCCTTAACCTCTAAGCCATCTCTCTAGCCCCATCATTTTCTGTCTTAACAGGAATAATCCTTTCCTGTCTTATCAATGTGCTGTCTAGGAAGAACTCTGAAAATTTTATTATGATGTCCGATGAGTTGGTCACTTTAATTGTATCAGTTTTAGTGCTGTACTTTAGATTCTGGTCTTTTCGTCTTTACACCTCACTAGCAGACAAGATTTGAGGAGTAGTAGAGATTCCAGGGAGAAACTGAATTTGTTTCAGGGTGAATAGGATAGAGAATGTGGGGTCTAGATCCTATTTACAGGGCAGGAGAGATGGCTCCGTGCGTAAAGGCACCTGGCACCAAGCCTGATGACCTCAGAGCCACTGTCTCCTCGAGTTGTCTTCTGATCTTCACGCACAAGTATGTGCTCATACAAAAAATAAAATGTAGTAAGATTCTTTTTTAAAAAAATATTTATTTATTTATTTATTTATTATGTATACAATATTCTGTCTGTGTGTATGCCTGCCTGCAGGCCAGAAGAGGGCACCAGACCCCATTACAGATGGTTGTGAGCCACCATGTGGTTGCTGGGAATTGAACTCAGGACCTTTGGAAGAGCAGGCAATGCTCTTAACCTCTGAGCCATCTCTCCAGCCCCTAAAATGTAGTAAAATTCTAAAAATAAAAAAAAAGAAATCCCTTTAGTTCTCATTAAATAATTCCCATCTCAGTATGTTGGTGAGAAGAAAATGAGGTTCACATTGTTGTCCTAGAGAAACGTGAAACGTGGGGGATTGTTTTCCTCAACCCAGTCTGAGCTGTTTAAAAATAACAGCTAGATTGGTTTGGATACTGTTTAGACCTTTGTGGTGGTAATTGCGAGAGATTTCATATGAAGAAATGATCTCTACCTTTTTAGGATAGTACACCCTAATGGGAGTCTTGATAGAGTCTTATGTCTCAACAGAGGAACTCCAAAACGTTGCCTTGACCTTTCGAATCTTAGCAATGGAGAGCTGTCTGCTTCTCAGCTTACCACTTCTGCTGACTTTGATGAAACCGGTAGGGGACAGTCTTCAAAGAGAAAACTAACTTTAAAATTTTTATCTTTATTTAATTTTTATGTGTATAAATGCTTTTCACGTGATGTATGATGTGTACCACATGCACGCCTGGTACCCTCAGAAGCCGGAACTGGGATTGCTGACTGTGATGAGCTACTGTGTAGATGCTAGGAAATGAACCTGGGTCCTTTGGAAGAGCAGCAAGTGCTCTTAACTGCTAACCTCTCTTGTGCTGGAGAGGTGACTCAGCCTTTAAAGGCTAAGGCTTAGCCTGGCAGTGGTGGCACACACCTTTAACCCAGCACTCGAGAGGCCGAGGCAGGCGGATCTTTGTGAGTTTGAGGCCAGCCTGGTCTAAAAGAGCTAGTTTCAGGACAGGCTCCAAAGCTACAGAGAAGCCCTGTATCAAAAAACAAAACAAACAAACAAAAAATAAACAAAAAAGGGCTAAGGCTTATTATAACTTTTTCGAGAGAACACAAGGTAATAGCATAGAAATGGGAGATGGTGAAAATAGATAAAGAACCTATGTAAAACCAGGTATGTTAGCTTATGTAAACCCAAAACTTGGAAGGTTGAGACCAGCCAGCGCTACCTAAAAGTAGAAATTTTGAGGTTAGATAATTTTTAGTTGAATGATAAACGGAAAGAGAAAATGACAGTAATAGAAGTTGCTTTGCATTGGAAAAAGTTTTTCAAGAAGTAATTTATTTTGTTGACTGATTAATTGTGGGGATGCAAGTGCAGTAAAATTTTTTAATCCCAATTTAATCTCACTAGAAGCAAAGAAATCGGCATAAAAATACTTTATTTTACAAGACCCTTCATTCAGTCCTCAGTACCCTCCAAACTCAAAAGATATACTTTGTCAACTAATTGGTGTATGTGTGTGTGTGTGTGCACGCGCACGCGCGCGTGTGCACATGTGTGTGTGCGTGTGTGTGTTTCTGGGTCTAAACCAAAAAATTTTGCTAGTAAACCATTCTAATGTTTGCTCTAATTTCATATTTCCTGAATAGCCACTTTCTTTTCTGTTTGCTTTCTTGGGGAGGGGAGAAGGTGGAGGTTTGAGACTGTCTCATGTAGCTCAGGCTGGCCTCAAACTTACTTTGTAGCTATTGAACTTCTGATCTTATTTACCTCTCAAATTCTGAAATAACAGGCATATTTGTGTTTATTCCTTCTGAAGTGTTTTGCCTGCATGTATAGTGAATGTGTGCCTGGTGCCCAAAGAAGCTAGAAGGAGGTGCCAGATCCGTTGGAACTGGAGCTGAGAATGGTTGTGGACCACCGTGTGGGTGCTGAGAACCAAACCTGGGTCCTCTGCAAAAGCAGCAAGTGCTCTTAACCTCTGAGCCATCTCTCTAGCCCAGTTAATGCTTTTTTTCCCAGTTATTTATTATTACTGCGTGTTTGTGTGTTGGGGATGGCAGTAACAGACTATGAGATAACGGATGTGTGCCACCATGTTTTCATACAGTGCTGAGGACTGAACTTTGTGCATGCTAAGCAAACACTCTACCAAGTAAGCTGCCATGCCTAGCCCGTTATTTTTCATAACTGATTGCAGGTTCCTTGGATTCCTCAGGACCTCAGGATGCACAGTTAACCGTGAAGTAAGTTCTGCTGTTGAAAATGGTCTACATGCCTTCACTGCTCACAGGGAAGTCCTGTGTGGACTCTGCAGACGGTGAAGTTCTTCAATTGGGGTATTTGTGGGCTTGGAGGCCTAGATTCTGACTTGACAGCTTTTAAGTTTTCTGGTTCTAAATTGTGTTGTGAAATGCAGACTATTTTAAACTGGCACACACAGAAATATCTTGTTTTCACGTGAAGGGAATGGTATGCAGCACACATGCTGGAGCGTCTCTGCACATGTGAGGTGCTGCATTTCAGTGACTCGGGCTGCAGGGTCAGGAATGACATTGTTTTGATTTAACTTTCTTTACTCATAATATGAGATAACAGTAGCCCTTTTTTTTTTCCTTTTAGTTTTTCGAGACAGGATTTCTGTGTAGCTTTGGAGCCTATTCTGGAACTCAACTCTGTAGACCAGGCTAACCTCGAACTCACAGAGATCTGCCCTCCTTTCCCTCCCTAGTGCTGGGATTAAAGGCGTGTGTTACTACTGCCTGGCAACAGTAGCACTTTTTAAAAACAGCTATTGAAAAGATTAATTAAAATGAGAAGGC